AGCATAGTTAACATAGTCAGCAAATCATGGCCTCTGTTCAAACACACTGGCAAGTGACTCTGTCACATGCAAAAGTCGTTCATCAGGAAATGCTTCAGCGGCTCAGGATCTTCTGGTGCATTCTCTAGCCTTGACAAATGATCTGCTACTTGATTCTGGATGCCCTTCCTGTTTCTGATCTCCAGATCGAATTCTTGCAGCAGCAAAACCCACCTAATCAACCTTGGTTTTGAATCTTTCTTTGTGACGAAATACTTTATGACTGCATGATCAGTATATACTATGATTTTCATCCCCAACAAGTAGGATTTGAATTTGTCAAAAGCAAACACTATAGCTAGCATCTCTTTCTCTATGGTTGAATAGTGGATCTGGGCTGCGTTCAGAGTCTTGCTTGCATAGTAGACAACATGTAACACTCTGTTTCTCCTCTGGCCTAGCAGAACTCCCACTGCAAAGTCACTAGCATCAGTCATTATTTCAAATGGCTGAGTCCAATCAGGTGTGACTATCACAGGGGCATAAATAAGCTTCCCCTTGAGCTCTTCAAATGCCTTCACATAGGACTCATCAAAGATGAATGCAGCATCTTTCTCCAGAAGATTGCACAAGGGCTTGGATATTTTTGAGAAGTCCTTGATGAATCTCCTATAGAAACCTGCATGGCCAAGAAAGCTTCTCACTCCACGAAGTGTTGGTGGAATGAGTTTCTCTATCACCTCTATCTTGGCTCTATCAACTTCAATGCCTTTCTCATAAATCTTGTGGCCTAGAACAATGCCCTCTGACACCAAGTAATGGCATCTCTCCCAGTTCAAGACCAGATTGTTCTCAATACACCTCTACAACACCTTACTCAGGTTTTCTAGACATCCTTCATAAATCTTCCCAAACACAGAGAAGTCATCCATGAAAAATTCAATGATGTCTTCTACCATGTCTGAGAAGATAGCCATCATGCACCTATGGAATGTTGCTGGTGCATTGCACAGACCAAATGGCATCCTCGGCATCCTCTTGAAAGCAAAAGTGCCATAAGGACATGTAAATGTGGTCTTCTCATGGTTTTCAATAGCAACAACTATTTGATTGTATCCTAAATATCCATCCAAGAAATAATAATAGCTATATCCTGTTAGTCTGTCCAGCATCTGATTAATGAATGGCAGTGGGAAGTGATCCTTCCTGGTAGCCTTGTTGAGCTTCCTGTAATCCATGCAAACTCTTCAAGCATTAACCACTCTGGTTGGGATGAGTTCATCCTGATCATTCTTTACCACTTTCATCCCACCTTTCTTTGGAACACATTGGACTGGGCTCATCTAAGTACTATCAGATATAGGATATATGATCCATGCATCCAATAACTTGATGACCTCTTTCTTGACTACTTCTTTCATGGCTGGATTTAACCTTCTTTGACCTTCTATACTTGGCTTTGCTTCCTCTTCAAGCAGGATTTTGTGAGTGCAGATGGAAGGGTTGATACTTTTGATATCAGCTATGGTCCAACCAATAGCTTCCTTGTGCATCCTCAGAACTCTCATCATCTTGTCTTCCTCTGTCTCAGTCAATGATGATGAGATGATTACAGGCAAAGTGTCTTTATCTCCCAGGTACACATACTTAAAATGTGCAAGCAGTGGCTTCAACACCAGAGTTGGTGGTTCTTCCAAAGAAGGTTTGTAAGTTTTGCCTTCCTTAGCTAAATCCAACAGCTCTGCTGGTTGACTTCTATGTGGACACTTTGGAGAGTGATCTAAGTAACTTAGCCATGTCGTGGCTGAGTCCTCATTTGGATGTCCTGTATCCAATTCATCATCAATTAGTATTCTAAGCAATTCATCAGACTCTATTACCTCAACTGAGACTTGCTCGATAGTCTCTTCCACAACATCGATCTTGAAACACTTTTGCATCTCTACAGGGAATTTCATGCTGTTGAAGATGTTGAATGTCACCTGTTGTCCATCAAACTGCAAAGTCACAGCCCTTTTCCTCACTTCTATGATAGCATCATAGGTTGCTGAAAAGGTCTGCCCAAAATGATAGGCACTTCCTTATCCTCCTCCATATCCAAGACTATAAAGTCAGCTGGATAAATGAATGATCCAACCTTGACCAAGATATCATTTAAAAATCCCCTTTGGATATGTAAGGGATCTATCAGCTTGCTGCAGGGTAATATTAGTAAGCACAATTATATCATTGACTCCAAGTGCATTAAAAATAGATAAAGGCATTGAGTTAAAACTTGCTCATAAATATAGCAAAGATTTCTTAAATTTAGTGTTACTGACAGTGCAGGGAATTGTGAAACTCCCTGGATCCTTGAGCTTTGCTAGCAGCTTCTTCAGAATGACTACACTGCACTCCTCATTCAAAGTTATGAATCATGAAACATGAATCCTTGGCTTGTTTGAGACTAACTCCTTCAGGTACTTGAAATACTTTGGCATTTGCTTCAGAGCGATCAATGGAATGTTGATGTGTAAGCTCTCCAGATTGCTCATGAATCTATTAATAGCTGCTTCTGAAGTCTTCTTCATGACTTGTCTGCGTGGATAAGGGCGTATTGGTACTTCAGGTTGAGCTGGGGGAGATGGAGATTGAGCCTCCCCTGTCAAGCCTGGTTCTTTTGTGGAATGCCCCTTTGAATCCACTGCATCTTCTTTCTCCATAGTAAGGACAATAACATCTTCAGCTTCCTTAGGTATAGCTGCAGGTGTTGGGACAAGAATCTCACTTGTGGGAGTGAGTTTCTTCTCGCTGTGAAGTGATACAACCTTGGCTTGTTCTTGCTGAGCCGGCCTAGGATTTTCCACTGTATCACTTGGCAAACTTCCTGTCAGACGTTCTGCACATAGCTTCTCATTCTGACTCAATCTTGCCTCTAATTGATGTTGGCTAGCTTGCAAAGACTTGATCATAGTCTTAAGCTCCACCACATCACTTTCTTTTAAGCTCCATTCTGGTTTCTGGAAACTAGGTGGTTGGTCAGGCCTTTGGTAGCTGCGTTATTGCTGATTGTTGTTCCAAGTGCCTTGCTACCCTCTCCAGTTGTTGTAACGATTGAAACCACCCGCATTGTTCTGACGAACAAATTGAGCTGATTCCATCAACTCAGGACAGTTATCAATCTTATGTGGACTAGAGCATGACTCCACAAGTCAATTTGTGACTTGGCAATGCAAGCTTCAACTTTGGCCATCTGATTTAAGAGCTGGGACAGTTGGGCTCGAATATGTGTAGCTATATCAACTTCAAATACGCCAGCCTTCTTGGGCAAATCTCTGGGATCTGATTGCCATCTGTAGTTTTTGGTTGTCATATTCTCCAGTAGTTGGGTTGCATCTTCCACATTCTTCATCATGAATGCTCCACCAGCAGTGGAATCGAGAGAATCTCTGGAGGACTGGGTTAGACCATTGTAGACAATGCCTAACCTCATATGTTCCTCACCATGCTGTGGACATTTCCTCAGCAGCTCCTTGAATCTTTCCCAAGACTCATATAATGTTTCATCATGACGTTGCTAAAACATCATGATTGTAGTTCTAAAATGTGTTGCCTTATATGGTGGAAAGAACTTAGTAAGAAATGCTTGCCTTAATTCCTCCCAGCTTGTGATGGAGTTGTTCGGGAAGGAGTTCAACCACGTTTGAACTTGATCTTGAAGTGTGAATGGGAACAATCTCAGTTTGATGTCATCCTGAGATAGTCCGTGGATCTTGTAAGTACCACAGACCCTGAGAAAGGTCCGTAGGTGGTCATTAGGATCTTCTGATAGCAGACCATTGGGAGCAGAAGTTACTAAACTATTGGGAACATAATTATATTTTTTTGAAAGCCAGGTTGGAAGTGTGACAAAAATCATTAATTATGTGGATTCATATGAAAGAAGAAAAACACTTTTAAAAACCGAGCAGGAAAAGAAAAGTTTGGCGGTGACGAAATAGCGTAAACTTGATGAATGTAAAATTAGGAAATAACGATGGAACATGACCTGGAAACCTCATTCCACCTTGGAAATTGGAAACTTGGGATGACTTTTATATATAATGATCAGGCATGAAGGACGATTAATTCCCTAACACCTTATTTTCGATTTCTCCTTGTTCTTTGTTTATTGATCTGGAGAAGAAGATGGCTACTACTACAACATCGGTAAAGAAGATGATGTCTTCAGTGGAGAATTATTTGGAGGTGAACTAGATTCTGAGTGAGGAATCATCCTGGAGTGAAAAACAATTCTTCAAGAAGTCAGGGATTTTCTCAGCCAGAGATTTGGACGAGTTTCTGGCGTTGGGAGTTGAGAAGGAAACTTCTGAACAAGGTGAATAATCGTAACCCTCATCAGAATACGATGAATAATCTGATGAAATCTTCGGATACTATAAATTCTCCTAATTGCAAGAAGGATTTGCGATTATTGACTGTGTTGAGAGTATGTGGCAAGGATTATGAATCCCACATCGGAGGCATGAGGACATATGAATTAGTTAATAAGTAAGGTGGTCTCAGAACCCATTAGCTTGAGCTTTTGAGTTCAGATGGGTCTTATCTTATTTATTGGGCTACATGTCGGGTTTTCTCCTCCAGATAAATCCCCAACAGTGGTACAGAGCCCAGGTTAGGCCAAGTGGGTGGGTGATTTAGCCCAAATTATCTCGGTTGATCTGACTGAATCCAGGCAGTCAAAGGCCCACTACGAGAGGAACGTAGGGATGGGCGGCCCAGTTACTCAGGTGGAGTACAGATTTGGGCTTGTCGAGATAAATTGGAAGCCCGATGCGGAAATTGCCCATGACGGGGGAGAATGTTGAGAGTCATGTGGCAAGGATTATGAATCCCACATCGGGGGCATGAGGACATGTGAATTAGTTAATAAGTAAGGTGGTCTCAGAACCCATTAGCTTGAGTTTTTGAGTTCAGATGGGTCTTATCTTACTTATTGGGCTCCATGTCAGGTTTTCTCCTCTAGATAAATCCCCAACACTATGAAAGTTCAGTTAGCAAAAACCTCTTCAAAGGTTGCTGCTAAATCTGGAAGTTTGGCTGAATCTGGTTCTAAGAAAGTACAAAAGAAAGTTGATCAGTCGTCGGAGAATAGTCCGGGCAAAGTGGGAGCGATGAGGAAAAAATTCTTAGCTGATCAAAGAAAGGCTACACTCAGCAAGAATAAAGAAAAAGAAACAGGCGATAATGTTAACAACACTCTGCCTTCCATATCTTCAATTATTTCAGGTGGAAAGCGTAAAATTTCCAGTATTATGACTTCCCCTGAATATGAAAATTTTAGGGTGGGCAACTCTGAAAACCAACCCGAGCGCAGATATAGATCCATTAATGAAAGAGAAGCTAAAGGTGAAGGAGAAGAACCGGGCCATGATTAAATCTGAACAATGTGGTGAAATTGGATCATCTTATAAGGTATGTCCTTCTCCAAAAGATGACGTGAAACTTGCCACCACGGCGACGTTGAAAAAGCCGCCCAGAAGAGATGCTCCAAAGAAATTAGTAGTACAAGAAGAAAACCTTCCAAAGGAAGTTCAGCAAGAAGATGCAATGGAAGCAGCAGAAGAAAGGAGGAAAGAACGAGGAGCTTCGAGAAGAGCATTGGAGTTAATGGAGAAAACCGTCCAGGTTGAAGATAATTTTCAGCTCATGGCCGACTTTGAGATGCTGACGGGTTGCAGTGTTCACAACGGATTTGGACCCGAATTGGGTCTAAGACAACTGCAAACTGGCAAAGTTTTATCGCGCTCTGGATTTTCTCGACGTTGTGGTGAAACAGGAATTCAAAGGATGCGAGGATTACTATTATCCTGATGAATCGAGTTGCAGCAGCTGCATCACTGAAGAATTTGAAGAAGGGGAAATATTTTAGCAGTTGTTGGAATACAATTATGATCTATAATTTTTGTTTCAATGATGTAAGATATCAGTTTCAGGGTTAGTTATTGATATAGTTTTGCCTTCTACCATGTATTCCTTCTCAGTCTAAAGAAGCGAGCAAATACATCTGCACTCAGCATAGAGCTCCGGTGATCAAAACAGTCCTTTTCCCAGGGATAGGTGGCTTGGGTGCTGAATCATTCGGTTCCTCTGACGACTCCATTAATTAATAATAGTAATATAGAATAATACGTAAACAATTTTTTTTTGGTACAGAGAGAGTAAAATTTCTACAATAATAATTAATAGAAACCACGAATATAATTGGCGTTTTACTTTCAGCCCTCTCAGAAAATAGAAGTTAGAGGATGTTTGGCTGATGATGAAAAATTAATGTGTAAAATAAAAGAGAGATCCCTCCTCTTCTATCCTTATAAGAGTGTTGATACGATTGATTTCCTGTTTCCGCCTAGTCTAGAAGGGAAAAAGAAAAAAAATTTAAAAAATTAAATGATAAATTAAACTGTTCATTCCGTCTTGAAATTATTGTCCAGTTTAGATTTTTTTATTTTTAGTTATTTAGTTCAAATTATTTTGGGAGAGAAATTCTTGTTTCCTACATTATAATGATTTTTGCTAAACTAATAATAATGTAGTCATTTCTTTTACAAATGGAACCGACTTTGATTATTGTCTGATTCTTCCAAGTGGTAAAAGGATCAACCAAGATGTAGTGTAGCTAGCTGTATCTGTAGATTTTGTACATTTGTTGTCCTGTTTCTAAGATAATGATGAATGTGTGTTTTGCGTTTGCTAGTAAATTGTAAGTTGATGATTTTGGCTAATGATTATATTGTTTCCAGAAAAGAATCATATTTATAACTCGAGTTTAGATTTTTCTACGAGGCATTTAGTTAACGTTTTTCTTCAATGTGTAGTAATTTACTATAACTGATAGTTAGACATTTTTGGAATAAGTGTCATCATCAGCTACACTCACACCATTTTAATTCCAAGAAGTTAATGATGGGATTTGGCACGCATTAAGAGTTTTTTTTTTTTTTTGGTACAAATGCATTAAGAACGTTGAAACTATTTCCACAATTTTCTAATGTATTTAAAGTCACTGAAAATGGAGTCTATCATACATGGTTATTGGAGTTTCTAATTATTTTTGGTTGACAACAATCTTTTCCTTTTTTTTTTACAATACTAGCTAACTTTTTCCCCGCACAATATGCAGTTTAGTTGATATTTTTTTCCCATTATCACATACTATTCAGAACAGAGTAAATAATTGCAAAACAGAATGACGGAATTAAATTATACGTTTTATCAATTTTTTAAGTGCCAGTGTGATACTAAGTTTAAACCGTTCATATTTTAAGACAATTCGGCTCAAATAAAATGTGAACATGTTGTGACAACAAGGTGTAGCTTAATGGTAAGACATCTCATCTGTTGACCAATAGGTCACGGGTTCGAGTCACGTTGGAGTAAGTGGGGAACCACTATTGATCCCTTTAAAATATATATATATATATATACAATAAAAAAAAGGAAAAAAATGTGAACATGTTATATACTATTTGTAGAACTATAATTGAGTGTTGATAGGGTCATTATTACAAAGATATGTACGCTAATACTCTCAACAAAGTACACCAACATGTTCTCACAAAACAATATCATTGGGAATTGAGACCATTGCACGAAAATATAGATATGTTTCATTGATTCTCAGACTCGATGTTTGTAGTAAAATTTTTCAGAGTTTATTAAGTTGCTTTGATACATTGTCCCACCATGTTCATCTCAGTATTTGTGTGTACTAAATATAGAAAAAAAAATAGTCTTACAAGTACTACAACAAGTTTAGGAGATGAATTCGATTGCAAAGTGTTTTCAGAATTCACTTTTACGCTCTTCCTACTGATTGAATGAACACACTAGTACATTCCCTACTTCATATAAATAGAAGTCATACTATTGTGATTAATTAATTTACATCACTTTTGTGAATAACGAAGATGTTAAATTTATGATCTTTTAGCTGGCTATTTTCTCACTGTCGGAATCATTAAGTTTTTACTACAAATTTGTATGTGTAATTTTTGCAAGTATAACTTTGCAATAAATATCAGTACACATGCATAGTCATGTCATTTAATTGTACTTGCACACAGAAAATTACTTAAAATTCTTGTTTTGCTTTGTTTCTGTTCTATGGTGATAGGTCCTGCCAATACTCCTGGGCCAACCCTTACATGTGGAGTAAATCTGAAAAACCATAGCCAAGTATCTCATATTGACCTCAATGGGGAAAAGGCAATTAGTTGAAAAAGATGCCAACATCAACCTCTTCACTGACATGACATTAACTCTAGTCAATCAACTGAAACAATCGTAAGATGTATTTCTTTCATGCAAGTAAAGTGTGGACCTTAACCAAATATATCTCCAAAGCCAAACGTTAGGGACATAGTTGGTAACGTCTACGCTTCATGCTTGCTTTTATCAGCTCAATTCCATGGAGGATGAACTTTCTACCTATGTTTTGAAAACCGGACCGGAAGGCGAATTAGCAACTTAACTGGTTCAACCGGTTTGAATCGGTCTATAAAGCCGGTCAAAACCAGCTATATAAAATATTAAAAAAATAATTTATGCTGAAAATTTCAAAAATTCGGTCCAACCGGTACTGGTTCTCGATCGAACTACGGTTTCATCTGGGTTTGACCGAGTTTGATCACTTTTTAAGTTTGTCGATTATTAACCGAAACTGGACCGGAGAGCCCTCCGATTTTCAGTTAAACCGATTCGACCGCCCCGTCCGGTCTAATTTTCATACATAGCTTCTACCAATAGGAGTATTGGCTAGTGGTGCTAGTATTGGTTCTGCTAATACCAATGATGTTGTACCTGCAACCAGCAACAATGAATTGGTGGCAGCAGTGGCACCGCCAACAATGCAACCATAAGCGCCCACAACCACCACAACATGTGCAAGTCTTTTATTCACCAGTTCAGGTAATAAGGATTGCAAGCCATGCTGACGCTGAGCCAAGGCCGGTGCTTGTTATGAACTTCTCTCAAATGTATCCCCATGGAAGAGTGTTGCAGGATTGAGTAAGTTAGCTTATTTCATTCCGTTACTATTCAATTTTTATGAATAACCCAAATGGACATTGTCACAAAATTATTAACAGAAATCAATGTAGTAGATTTGGTCTTTAATTAGTTAATTTCTCTAATGTTCAGCATTTGTGGAGTATGAGACGACAAGAGGTAAGACGGGTCTACACGTTAAAAGAACTGTGGATGTCAGTGAGGGTCGTGTTGGCGAGGTTGCTGTGATTTGTCGCGGCATGCGTCGGATCTGCGCCATTGGTCACTTCATTATCACATTTCCTCTTCCTGGAAGGGTGAAGATCCCGGTGCTCTGGGGAAAAACCCACCACAACATCCATGAAGTATTGGCCACCCTCGTTGTCCCCAAAAAACCTACCGATGAGCCTGATTCTGATATCGAGGATGACAAAGATGAGCCTCAATTGATGAATTAGGAGTAGTCTCTCTCTCTCTCTCTCTCTCTCTATCTATCTATCTATCTATCTATCTATCTATTAGGAGTAGTCTCTCTCTCTCTCTCTCTCTCTCTCTCTCTCTCTCTCTCTCTCTCTCTCTCTCTCTCTCTCTCTATCTATCTATCTATCTATCTATCTATTATCTATCTATCTATCTATCTATCCATCTATCTCCTTTCTTTTTCAAATAAGTAAGGTGTTAACTGAGTTGTATCCATTTCGGAAAGAAACCTTAAATATTGTTAATGGATGCTCTATTTATTTCTGTCAATTTTTTTCTCCAAATGTCTCGATAGTTACTATAATTGTCCAACCTTATCATTGATGATGTTGGAGTGATATTGTCTTTAAAACTCTTAGAATCATTTTATATATTGATCTTTGTAGCATATCTTAAAAACAATACATATTCTTCCTAATCAATATGTAAAAGAATGTTTCATACATAAATTTTTAGGGACAGGTTCGAGCCACCAAAATATTCAATCTTCCAAAAAGTCACACCCAAGCATTAACCAGCATAATCTTAATTTCATTTCAAGGGGAACGGGCCAAAATCAAAAAGCAAAAAGAAAAAGAAAAGAAAAAGAAAGGTGCCAACAACAACCTCTTCAGATCAACAATGTAGGAAGATTACTGACGCCGTCTCTCTACCCAGGCTCATGCTTTTGGTTATTCAACGATTTTTGCACCCTCCTCTCACTGGGATCTAGCTATTGTCTCAATGATCAGATACATATTGTACTGTTGAGTGCTATCTAGTTTTGGGTTAGTTATCAACGCAATATTGGATTTTAATGCGTTGGCATTGATCTTTTTAATTCCTTAATTTAAACAATAACCACACCGTACAAGAATTGAACTGGTCAAGTTGATATGGAAAACATTTATGATGTGCTGTTAATTTTCTTCAGACCTATTAAGTGATGCCCATAAACAACTTTGCAAATAACTTGTGAGTGGGTTCACAAATTAGATAATCTTCTTCAAGTAAGGCTTCCATGATTTCAGTAAACACCTCTTGGCTTCAGTAGCAGCGTACTGGTGTCTGAGTTGCCTGCTTCTCCTGGAAGTGGCTTCAATTTCTGGGTCAAAGAAGAATACCCCGGGAGCATTACTTCTTGTCATATACCAGAAGTCAAGATTCAAACAAAACACGTAACCGAAACAAAGAGAATTTTGGGTTTAATTTAACAACTAAAAAAAATAGAGCATAAAACAATAAACAGTAACCAATTTTCAAAAAGATGTTTTACGCCATCTCTGGCAACGGCGCCACTTATGATGGTGTCGAGACCACCAAAATAAACCTACTTAAAACTTGTAACAAGTGATAAGAAGGATCGA